GCCATCAGCCCAGAGCCCGATGCGGGGCTCGAACTCCCGGACCGCGAGATCGTGACCTGGCTGAAGTCGGACGCTTAACCGACTGCGCCACCCAGGCGCCCCAGCTGCGTCTCAGTTCTTATCCACAAAATGGGGCAATAATAGCACGGCCCTGTAGAGTAGGTTAAATGGATTAACTTACGTAAAGTACACGGACCAAGGATCGATACCTAGCAGGCTTTCAAAAAGTGAGGCATTTTTCCAAGCTCGGAAGCTCTGGGCGTTAAGAAAAAACAACTCCTGAATTCCACCAGCCTTCCCTCCTACAAGGTCAGTTTGCCCCAGTCTAAAAAGCCTTTCTAGTCCACCATATGCAGAATGTGCTAAGGAAAACCAGGGCCCAGAGAGGGGGCGATACCCAGCCCAGGTCACACAGGAACCCTGGCCAAGCTAGCCCAGGCCAGGGTTCCTGCTTTCCAGCCGGTTCACCCTGAGCGCCTCCCCGGTTTCCAGGCCCTGCTGGCCTGCCCTCTGACCCTGGCCCCCTGGGAGCCTGATCCCAGGCCCGTGGGGTCTGCAAGTCTGGTCTGGATTAGACACGCTGAGAAGTAAGCGCTGGCCCCCCCAGCAGGCTGCCAGGCGGGACCCGTGCTCACAGCTGCTGAGGCTCACAGGGACATAAATCATGGTGGCAGGAGGCTCGGGGACTGGGACCACCCTAGCCTCCCAAAGGGCACAGGGGCCCGAGAGTCACGGGCAGGGATGCCTGGGTCCACCAGGGGTATTTTCTGTCCGCAGCTGAAGTAAGGGCGAGTCAGAGGGGGCCAGGAGACTGTTCGGCAGACCTCATATCCTCGCAGGCCAAAGCCTCAACTTTGTTTTAGCTTTTCATTCTGCAATCATTTCCAAACATACAGAGGAGAGAAAAGTGGTGCACGAAACTCCAATACGCCCTTTACCTGGATTCACCACCTCTGAGCACTTTGCTATATTTGCTGTATCCTTCTCTGGCTCACAGACGTTTTTGCGGAACCATTTGAGAGTGAGTGGTCTACATCGCGTTCCTCTACCCCTCAACCATACTTCAGGGTGTCTTTCTTTCTTCCTTCCTTTCTTCCTCTTTGTTTTAATTTGAGAGGGAGAGGGGCAGAGGGAAGGAGGGAGAGAGAGAATCTTTAAAAACACTTTTTTTTTCCATGTTCATTTATTTTTGAGAGAGACGGAGACAGAATGCGAGTGGGTTAGGGGCAGAGAGAGAGAGGGAGACACAGAATCCGAAGCAGGCTCCAGGCTCCAAGCTGTCAGCACAGAGCCCGACGCGGGGCTCGAACTCACGAGCCACGAGATCATGACCTGAACCGAAGTCAGACGGTCAATCGACTGAGCCACCCAGGCGCCCCAGGATGTCTTCCTTCCTTCCTTCTTCCTTCCTTCCTTCCTTCCTTCCTTCCTTCCTTCCTTCCTTCTTTTTTTAATGTTTATTTTGAGAGAGAATGTGAGTGAACAGGGGAGGGGCAGAGAGAGTTGTAGAGAGACCATCCCAGGCAGGCTCTCACTGTCTGTGTGGAGCCCGATGCGGGGCTCGAACTCACAAACCGTCAGATGATCCTGGGCCGAAATCAAGAATCAGATGCTTAACCAACTGAGCCATCCAGGCGCCCCACCCCCCGCCCCACAGGGTGTATTTCTTAAGCACAAGTATATCCTCTTACATAACCATATGGTTAACAAATTCGGAAAATGTAACATTGCTACAATACTTTTCTCTATTGTTCTTATCCGATTTTGTCAACTGTCTTCTGTGGTATATTCCCCTGCAGTACAGGCCTCAGCGCAGGGTCACGTCCTGCATTTTGTTCTCCGGGTCTCAACTTTTGGTATCATATGCACGTGGGGTAGAAACACACAGTAGCCGGCGACACAGACGTTCGACCCTACATGTACGTCCTGTAAATTGATATTTTGCTAAGTCCTTTATTTAATGTTCTCATGATAATGCATTGTCTTTGTGACTGCGTGTGGGTGCTTAAGAGTTGACCTGCTACAGGGGCGCCTGGGTGGCTCAGTCAGTTAAGCCAGCCTCCGATTTCGAGGACTTCAGACGCTTAAGGTCATGATTGTACAGTTCGTGGGCTCGAGCCCCGCGTCGGGCTCTGTGCTGACAGCTCAGAGCCTGGAGCCTGTTTCGGATTCTGTGTCTCCCCCTCTCTCTCTGCCCCTCCCCTGCTCATGCTCTGTGTCTCTCTGTCTCAATAATAAATAAACGTTAAATTTGTTTTGAATTAAAAAAAAGCTAACCTGCTACATACACCATACTTTTTGCAATTCTGTTTTGTGGTGTTTTTTATCTAACAGGAGCCTCATAAAATGGAAGCAGTTGGGCTAATGAAGGGAGCTTAATGCAATGGAGGAGCCCTGGGTGGAGGAAGGGGTACTGCACTCTCAAGTCCTGCTCAGATCCAAATGCTGTGCAACCGTGGTCCATTGCTACCCTTCTCTGGGCTCTGGTTTCCTCACTGCCACCGGCAACCTCTGAGGTCTTTTGCTTGCAATTGTGAAGTTGGGGATGGGAGCCCTGTGTATCGAGGAAGGATGCCTGGGTTCCTCGTGGCCCAGCAGGGCCAGGGGCTCTCTGGGAGACCCAGGCAGGCTGTTCCCTCTGTATCGGCTCAGTCTCCTCATTGTGAAATGAGGGGCTATGAGATCACGTTCACGCGGATGCTCCTGGTGTCTAAGAAGGCTTGAGTGGAGAGTGCGACCTGAAATTTAAGCTTCCCCTTCAGGGTCCAACACGGCCTGGTCACCATCTTGACCCTCGGTTTCTTCTCCCTGAACTCCTTTGCTCCTCTGGCCCCAAGCTGGCCGTCGCTCAGGGACCCTTGGGGAGCCTGGCTGGGCTGGCCCATCCCGAGGGGGGGGCAGCGCATGCATTGGGGGTGGGGATGTTGAGCAAGTGTCCCCTCCTCCCCCCTCCCCCCAGAGGTACTGGCCCACGGCTATGCCTTTTCCAAGTCACATGTGTTGGGCTGGCCTCGCAGCTCACCAAGTCTCGGGCATTAATTCTGCATTACCCAGGAGGGAGGCTCTGGGAAGCCCAAAAGCTGCAAAATGCACAGGACAGAGCACTCTGCAGCCGTGAACAAGTCCAAAGTGGCTCTGTACGCTGAAGGCTTTCCAAGACGTAAGGAAATTCTGTTGTGCAGAACACATGTCCCGGGCTCCCACTCGTGTGGGAACACGGTGTGCGTGTGGCTTGCCTATATATATGCCAACTGTTTCTGCAGGAATCCCAGGGACCCTGGGATCCCTGGGACCCAACCCCAAGAGGAGGAGCCCGAGGGAGGTATGTACTTTTCACTGCGCACTGTTGGATTCAACTCGAATTCCTCGCCCAGTGCGTAAGTGTGGTCTATTAAAAACTATCCAGGGGCGCCTGGGTGGCGCAGTCGGTTGGGCGTCCGACTTCAGCCAGGTCACGATCTCGCGGTCCGTGGGTTCGTGCCCCGCGTCGGGCTCTGGGCTGATGGCTCGGAGCCTGGAGCCTGTTTCCGATTCTGTGTCTCCCTCTCTCTCTGCCCCTCCCCTGTTCATGCTCTGTCTCTCTCTGTCCCAAAAATAAATAAACGTTGAAAAAAAAAATTTTAATAAAAAAAAATAAAATAAAAAAATAAAAACTATCCAGCAAGGCAAAACGACTGATTATCATTCTGTCCTATATTCGTGCTGGTTAGAGGTTGGGCAGGGTGGCGGTTGGGCAGTTTCTCTGGGGTCACCTGGCAAACCTGGTGGCAGAAGTGAGCCTCCAGCCCAGAGCACCCAAGTGTCTGCTTTGTCCCCACTCCCAGGTTTCCTGCCATTGACAAAATCACAGTCCTTTTCCTATGGCTTTGCCAGGGGCTGCCTGGCCCTGGCCCTGGGCAGACACGGGGAATGCAATGTGCTTTCCTAATTAGCTCCCCAACTGGGAAGCAGGACCACACCGGGACAGGATAGGCAAGAGCAGTGTCCTGAAACACCAGGGAAATGGGGGGAATGGAGCGAGGGTGCTTGGGAAGCTCCCCCAGGCGGGACCGCAGCCCCTTAGGGCCCTCCTTCCTCCACTTCCCACACCAAAGAGGTTACATGCGGTGCTTTTACAGCCACTCCAACCTGGACTGACCCCCTCGTTCTCCTGGGGCCTCCGTTTCCATCTGGGAGGCAGGCAGGGTGGGCGTGGCTCAGCGCCCGGCACGGAGAAGGCGCCCAGGAACCCGTGGATCTGCAAAACGGCAGCCCCACGTCAGGCCCCATCAAAAGGTCAAGTGCGGTGGGTGGCAGGGCCCAGTGGATCCGAGCACAGACTGGCCAGGCTTCAGTCAGTAACCGCTCATTACAAGTGCTTGTTAAATACGTTCAAAAAACAGGCATGAGTGTACCCTGAGGAAAGGAAGGGTGGCTGCCTGGCCCTTCGCCTCACCTGGCCCCCCCCCCCCCTCTCTCTCTCTCTCTCTCTCTCTCTGCCTTTCCCTCCCTCCAGCCTCCTGAGCCTCTCTGATCCTGGCCTCACAGGGACAGTGCCAGCCCAAGAGCCAAGCGCACCTGGTTCTACTGACCCGCTGCCTCCATCACCATCTTGGCTGAATCCGCGAAATGGGGCAACAGCAGCCTTCACCACGCGGAGCCCGCTGGGGCACAACCGGGACCTGGGGGCTGGCCCTCCAGTGGGGCATCTCCGGGCCAGGGGAAGGCTTTAGGGGTGGACGGACCTCACATCACCATCCTGCCACATGCCTTTGGGTGTCACTGGCCCCCCAAATCATCTCAGCTAAAACAGGGGTAAGGATATCCCCCTTAGCACACGCTCCCTGTCTGTGAAGACACGGAGAAGGGACGGGTTACAGTCTAGCACATTCGAGTGGAATTAAGTAGCTACTGAAGGAAGGAGGCTACCCTTTACCTTTGTGTGCTGACTTGGGATGACAGCCAACGTAGATCAGGAAACAGAGTGCAAAGGAGCTGAAAGCAAGGACGACATGCTACTGTTTGGGTAAAGAGTGGAAGAAAGTATATACGTACATATATATTTTTTCTGCATTTGCTTGGTTAATCATAGGGAATGGGACATCACAAAATCTGGTGGCCAAGGCTGCCCGCAGCGGGAGAACTAGTGGCTGGGGGACACGAGGGAGGGGAACTTTACCATGTTTCCTCTTGTACCTTTTGACTTGTGAACCATGTGAATAAATACATCCCTTATTCAAAAATAAATACATTTAACATTTCTTGCCAACCACATCAGACAGCTAGTGACTGTTCACGAAGACTGTGGGGAAAGTTTAGTCATTCTGACTTCCGGAGAGGGGTCCTCCTGACGTCCCCCGGCCCCACACCCTCCAGGGCACAGGGGAGCACCTGCGGCATCTGGGCCTCTGTCAAGGGTCTAGGAGAGAGGCCACCTCCGACCTCTGCTGGGAGTCCCCCTCCCCCATTCTTCAGATGGGAATATCTTTTATTTAAAAATACTTTTTTATTTTAAACCCACCAATTCTCTCTCTCTCACATACACGCGTGCACACACACACACACACACATGCACACACACACACTCATTCACAGATATGCACACATCCTCTGTCACCAACAGTCTTTGTTTTTCCAAAAGTTCTGCCTTGTCTCTGACCAGCTAGGGCTGGGACTGGCTGCATGGGTCCTCATGGCTCTCTGGGGTGTGGTGGAGCTGTCCCAGGGAGCCTGCCCACAGGGTCATGGGCCCAGACCGTGGTCCTCAGGTCCCAACACGAAAGAGGTTTGGGTTGGGCTCCTGGGGTCTTCTCCCCTGTTCAACCAGCGGCTGCCCTCTGGCCTCCTTCTCCGGGGTCCTGCGTGGAATAGCTGCCATAGGGGTCTAGGCTCATCTCCGTGGCACTCGGAGGGGGGCTACCCCCCTCACCTTCAAGCAGCTGCCCCCCAGGTCACGACGGCCACCCTGCAGGAGGAAAGAAGTTCGATCAGGTCACCATGAACGCTGGAACTAACCTCTGTGTCCAGCACTAGGGGACCTCGTAAATAAATCACAGCCACACAATAAACTCCACAGCAGACGGCAGAAGAGACTCTTCAGGACTGATAGGGAATATTGGAGAGATAACATCATTCAAGGACAAAGGCAAGAACCGAGTGGATGTTCCTGTGTGCTGAGATTTCTGGAGAGAAGGGCATAAGGGAAATTGCTAATGGGTTTCCTCAGAGGAGAGGAATTTCGTGAGGAGGAGGCAAGAGGCAAGATGGATGGGAGGGAGGCTTTTTTTCTTTTTTTAATGCTATGTAACGTTTTACCTTTTTTTTTTTTTTTAATGTTTTCATTTATTTTTGAGACAGAGACAGAGCATGAGTCAGAGAGAGAGGGAGACACAGAATCCAAAGCAGGCTCCAGGCTCCGAGCTGTCAGCACAGAGCCTGACGCGGGGCTCGAACTCACGGACTGTGAGAGCATGACCTGAGCCGAAGTCGGACACCCAACTGACTGAGCCACCCAGGCGCCCCACATTTTACCTTTTTCATTTCTTCCCCATGTAATTTGTTGTTTCTTCTTCTTTTTTAATCCAATACACTTTAAATCATAATATTTTACATTTACAAACAAACCCCACAGTGGATCCTCCCCACTGCCCCATCGTCCACTTACTCATCAACCTTCAGAAGTAGACTGTGGATTTCTGGCCTCCCTAAGGTGTTCTCTCCACCAGGAACGTGCTCTCTGGTCCTGTCTCCCTGGGAGGGCTTCTCTTCCTGCCACTACCCGGCACTTCTGGGGACATTCTACCAGGATAAAACTCAGAAGGGGACGGCGGGGTCTCTTTTTGTTCCCCATCAGGCTGGGGGCTCAGGGGGTGGTAGGGAAAAGTCCTTCGCTCTGTAGCCCTGAGCCTGGTGTGGAGCAGGCACCGACGAATGCTGCTTGAATCAGTGGTGCCCGCTGGAAGATGGGCAAATGATGGCAGCCCCCGAAGCCACCTGTCCCTCACCCTGCAGGGGTTGTCCCTACCCGGTATTGTGAGCTCTGACACGTGGGTTTCATCCTCACTCTAAGTCAGTGAGGTCATGGGCATTAGAGCAACCCCTCTGTTGAGGCTCCCGCCGTGGAATGCCTGGCCCAGAGGCACCCAGCCAGTTGGTAAAAAAGCTGGGCTAGAAACCCATGTTGTCCGACAGTCAGTTCTGCTTCCAGGACACGTTGGTATCTGAAATCCCACTGCAAACGCTCACCCCACCAAGCCTGGCGAGGAGATGGCAGGACAGGCATCTTTCTCAGCCATCTGGAGAAACAGCCGACCATCTGGGAGCTCTGCCCCCTGTCCCCTCCGCCCCTGGGCCCAGGTTGGGGCAGATCCATCCAGATGTGAGCCCAGCCTCCCTCGAGGCTCTCCGGGCCCAGGGACAACATGTTCATTCACAGGCAGGGCTATTTTGAGGGCTGAGGCCACCGTCCCAGCAGAGCCTGGGGCTTAGGCTTCTCACACAAATCTGGCAGGAGTGGCTGAGAAAGGGGGACAGGAGTGGGGAGGAAGAGGGTGTAGCGTGCTGGGGGGTAAAAACACTGGCCTCTCACTCTCTCACTCTATTTCCTCAGGACGGGCAGAGGGGTTTTTTTTTGGGGGGGGGGGGAGGGGGGGGGGCCCCCTCAACCCCAAGTCTGGCGGGATGAGGAGACCCTGGTCTCATGATAACGCTGGGACCCTTCCTCTCCCTGAACTTCAGTGTCTTGTCTATGACGTGGGGACACAGTGATTCTACTGCCGCCCCAGGATGCAGCGTCATGCAAATGCAGCTGTGAAGGAGACTTGCAAAGTGCCAAAAGCACTTAGAAGGGCCCTGACTAGGCCCCAGCTTCTCTGTCCCCTAGGAACTCAGCGCCCAGGGCTCTGGGAAGCATGGTGGTTAGGAGCTGGGCTGGAGTGAAACAGATCTGAGCTTCAACCCCCGCTCTGCCTCGAACTACCTGTCAGACCTCAGGCAGGTGCCTTCACCTCACTGAGCCTGTTTCCCCACATGAAACGTGGAGGTGCTGTGAGGACTGATTATACGTATTTATAGGTGAAGCCCTTAGCACGGCATCACGCACACCCCAAGTGTTTAATAGGTGTTCACAAGTGGGGCGCCTGGCTGGCTCAGCCCGGTAAGCGCTTGACTCCCGCTCAGATCGTGATCTCGCGGTTCACAAGTTCAAGTCCCGCGTCGGGCTCTATGCTGACGGCTCAGAGCCCGGAGCCTGCTTGGGGTTCTGTGTCTCCCTCTCTTTCTGCCCCTCCCCTGCTCTCTCTCTCTCTCTCTCTCTCTCTCTCTCTCTCTCAAAAAATAAACATTAAAAAAAATTTTTTTTAAATAGATGTTCACAAGTATCATTATCCGCATCACCTGGTAACGGTACCCCCTGCCCCCACCACCCGCCGGGCCACGTCAGCTCCCGAGCTGCTTATGCCAACTGGGGAGCGCCTTCCAAGATGATACTATCCAGCTCCACCCCCAGGTGACAGAAGGGGAAATGGGAGAGACAAGAACCCCACTCCCATCTCCTACTTGCTATTTCCATCACAGAGGGCCACACCAAACCCCTCCTTAAACAGAAAGATGCTCCAGAGAACAGGGTGGTCCACGGTGACCCCCACCTCAGCCATGTGGGAGGGAGGGGCTCAGAGTAGAGTGGCAGACTCTGGGTCTTGGAGCTGTCTGGCCCCCAAAGCTCAGAAGGGAGCCCCTGCAGTGGCCCCACAAGACAGCCAGCTTTCTTTCAGTGGAGCCTTCGAGGGGCCAGAGCTGGCCAGGATCGCCCCTCTCGCCTAATCCCAGAGGAGCCTGTAGGGATGAGCCTGGCTTCTGCAGCCAAATTTGGCTAGGTTCTTGGTCCTGTAGACACATTGCAGGGAAACAGGCAGACCCGGGCAGCGTCCCTGGGATCCATGGGATAGGTGGAAACCAGCAGAAAGAACTCCCCCACCTGCTGTTGGTGTTGGGGCATATGGTGGGCACACCCTCTCCCCTGAGGCCTGCCCTTACAGTCCCCCACCCCGACTAACCTTTCCCACTTCCCAATCAGGCAGGCCTGAATCCGAACCCTCACCTCATCACGGATGGCGTCTTCGAACCAGTGACAGCATTGGTAGGCGGGTGGGGATAACCAGAGGCCCTCCCTCTCCCACTGCCACTGAGGGGCTTTAACCATAATATGTGAAGAGTGCTTAGCACAGGAAATCAGTGCCCAACAAGGCTGCCTCCCCTCTGTGCTCTGCCCCTTTCCTTCTCTACGTCACGCATCCTGATGCCAACTCTCGAAGTGCCCTGTCCCTAGAACACCTTTCCTTATCCCCTCACCAGCCTTGTCTCCGTTCCCAAGCATCTGTCAGGAGTTCAGCCCCTGGCTGGGGGCACCTTCTGGGCTCTGACAGTCCCTTGGTGCTCCGCCTCCCCACCAGGAGAGTGCAGCGTCCCTGTCTCCATGCCCTTGGTCTGGCCCTGCCCCTGCACTGGGAGATCCTGACTGTGATGGGTGGGGACCCACGACCTGCTTCTCTGGGAATGTTCTCAGGGCCACCAAAAGGCGACCGTTGGGTAGATAAGGTTGGATGAACTGAATGAACAGGCGAAGCGCCTCACCGTGGGCCCAGCCAGCCCTTCACATCTGGAGGCCTGAGGCCCACCTGGCTTCCCCTCCCAGCCTGGAACGCTGACCAGGGCCCACGGCTGGGAGCGGCAGGGTACAAACCAGAGCCTAAGAAAACTGACTCAGGGAATTTGAAGCAGCCATGGGGGTGAGCGGCCAGACTGGGAGTCTGATGAGTCAGAGGAGGGTGGTCTGAGGCCAGGACCCAGAGGCTTCCCCAGAACAGAGTGAAGCGGGGGACCGAGAGCAGCTGTTAAGAACCAAAGAATGGGGGTCTCAGAGGCCTGGCTCCAATCCCTCGTGGCCTTTCACTGTCCAAAAGGCTGTGGGCCCCTCAGGTGCTCTCCCAGTCTCCAGGACCCAGAGGGAAAGATGAGGGATGAATCGGGCTCCTTGGGGCCCAGGCAGGAGGAGAACCAGCTTTCAACCAGGAGAGCCCCCAGGCAACCGGTGCCGCTCCCCAAACCCCCCTCGCCCGCTCCCAGGCTGGCTCTCGTCCTCGTCGGCGCGCGTGGGACGCACCACGAGAGCCTAACTCCACCTCTGTCTAGCGGACTCAACAATGACTCTGCCCCGCACTCCATCCCGTTTGGGGCTGGGGTGCCCTCAGGAGACCCCCGTCTTCACTCCTGCTCATCGCTGGCTGCCTCGGAGTTTTAGCTGGGGGTATGCGTCCCTTTTGCTTCTCAGTCTCCTGTCCTCGGGTCAAGTCTTAGGATGCGGGACCACTACTTTACTGGGAAGGGTAGTTCGGGGCAACAGGCACGCATCGAGCAACCGAGCCTGCATCCCGGTTTCCCAGGTGAGTACCTGTGGGCATGGGATCACACCCCCCCCCCCAGCCCCCCGACGAATTTCCTGTCGCTTCCCCCTCTCTTCAACTGGGGTCCCTGCTCCTCTTCTGCTCCCTGGGAGGCCCCGTCCCCCCGCCAACCCCTGCCCCGCGGCCACAGTCCTGGGGGCTCCGCGCACTCACCCCTTTGCGCTGGTTGCTGAGGCAGAAGGTGCAGATGGAGCGCGGCTGGCGGCCGCCGTCGGGGGCAGCGGGGACCGCGCTCTTTGCACTGCCGGCCGCCCGGAAGCACGGCTGCCCGTCGTCGGCCGCGTCCCCCAGCAGCAGCACGTTGGCCAGGTGCGCGATGTAGCTGGACGCCAGGCGCAGCGTCTCGATCTTGGACAGCTTGCGGTCCACCGGCTCGGTGGGGATGAGCGTGCGCAGCGCCGTGAAGGCCGTGTTCACGCTCTGCGTGCGGTCCCGCTCCCGCGCGTTGGCCGCCTGCCGCTGTCGCACCACCAC